CCTTGCTCACCGCGCCTTGCTCGCCGCGCCGTGCTCGTCGCGCCATGCTCGCCACGCCATGCTCGCCGCGCCACGCCATGGTCGCCGCGCCATGCTCACCGCGCCACGCCATGGTCGCCGCGCCATGCTCACCGCGCCATGCTCACCGAGCCTTGCTCACCGCGCCATGCTTGCCATGCCATGCTCGCCGCGCCGTGCTCGTCGCGCCATGCTCGCCGCGCCACGCTCGCCGATACACGCCACGAGTGCCACGCCACGCTCGCCGCGCTCAATGCCGCGCTCAATGCCGCGTTCAAAGCCGCGTTCAAAGTCGCGTTCAATGCCACGCCTAGCTGTCCCTGTATGCCCCGTCGCGCCTCACCGCCTCCGCCGCGCCCAGAGTTGAGAGTAAAAACTCAACGCCAATCGCCAGAAGTCATCTGCTTTCACGTTAGCGTTAGCGTTAACGTTTTTTAAAACGACGCGCGCGCGCGCACAGCACTGCACACGAGGTCGCCCATCTCGCGCCCCATATATGCGCGCACGTCTCTGCGGCGAGCGCCCCTCCCCCTTACCTTCCCCTCAAACACCACACACCAACCCTATATTGCACACTGCAACGACTTGTGAAATAAAGCGACATAGAAAACGCCTTCCTCTTTATCTTCACCGCCATCGGCGCGGCGCACTTTGTCTCCATCACGTCCCATGCGTCTTGTGTGTGTGTGCGTGTGTGTGTGTGTGTTGCACGCGCGTGTGTGGACGCCAAAGCAAACGGCGCCTCTCTAGCGATGTCCCTCCAACATCTTAAAAATTAATTTGCGTGTTTTTATTGGTCCGATACGACGTCGTAACTCGCTGGAGCCCGCGCAGACTCGCGCGGCCCGCCTAGGCCCGCCCACGGCCCGTCCCGTCCCGTCGGCTGGGTCCCTCTTCCTTCTCACCTCTCCTGCCCCATCTCCCTTGCTCTCTGTCACTGGCTGCCCCCTCCCCCTCCCCTCCCCTCTCTCTCTCTCTCTCTGCCTCTCTCTTCTCGCCCAGATCTGATCGGCTCCTTGATGCGCGCCTTTATTAGGCGGGGACCTTCTTTTTTTACGCGCGTCGTGCGAATGAATGGGAAAATAAAATGGGTCATCGCGGCGGCCGTAAAAGTGCATCGCTCTGCTCACACGGACACACACACACACACTCACACACTCACACACTCACAAACACTCACACACACACGCTGTAGGGCGTCTCGGATTTCCTTGCACCTGCGCCTACTGCTTGCTGCTTATTCGGCTCCTTAACTTCGAACCTGCCGCATAGCTTTTTCCTGCGGTCGCCCCGCCCCACCTACCCCTCCTTCCCTCCTTCTTTCTCTGCTTGACTCATTGGATGAAAATCAATGGGGTGGTTTGTAAACCACCCAATAATAATGGGAAGTCTGTAAAGCGGTATGGTCCCCCCCCCCACCTCTCTCTCTCTCCCTCTCTCTCTCTCTCTCTCTCTCTTTTTCCTTGGGCACACGCACACAAACACATACAGGGTGGTCCACAGACCCCTTCCTTTATTTTGCTCATACTGTACCGCATGCATGTGGGCGGGCGGGCTTGCCTACTGTCGCTCACCATGGGCGCTGTTTTAGCCCTAGAGAGGCCGATGGACAGGCAGACCCAAACTGCAAGGGTCAGCGCATTCCCTGCGCTCGGCGCGGCTGGACGCCTCGGCTCGGCCGAGCGGACAGTCGCGACGCAGCCTCCAGCCAGGGCACATCAGGATTAGGATAACCTATTGTTTGGTAATGTAATGAATCAGACTAATCCCACCGTTTAGGTAACCTTTAGTATGTATAGCAGATCAGACTGAGGGGTAGGGCAAAGGGTATTTGGCATGAACCCAATAAATAGTACTAAATTAATAACTAACTATGGTGTAGGTAGTAACTCACCCTAAGACCCCAGAACCCCCAAAGAACCAATCATTTCAATACTAAAACATTGGTGCATCAGCCGGACGAACCCTTAGCTCGTCCCGTGGCAGAAATTTGTTTGAACCACCGAAAAATTGTATTGTTTTTCTTTTAAATTTTGAGTTTTCGTCTCAATGCTGCCATGTGCTTTTGTCGATTGGTACTTATTCACTTTTCCTTTGTGTTTCTACTATTGATTTCATTTCCATGTGTTCTGTAAGAGTTTCCGATTATTTCTAGGTGCATAACTTAATTTTGAGACGCCAAAATGACTATTAATTAAAAATTCCAAGATGGCGCCGAACACATTGTGGTCGCCGCTATGGTTGGCAGCCATATTTCGGAAATGCACGCACCGGAAAGGATGCGTTGACCGGATGCTTATTTCTTTTCATGGGCGCAGCCATATTGAAAGGAAGTCATGTGACAGAGAGAAGTTCATGGGCGCGGCCATCTTGTCTTAGCAGAAGGTTGCTAGACTTAGGTGCTGGAGATGGTCATGCCTTAAGCGGTATTGTGCCTTGTTGCTGTGGACGCAATGAAAGGTTTATTAAATTATGGAAAGTCGTTAAAAATCTCATAACTTGGGTTATTTTGAAAACAATTTTGAGATTTAGGATGGTGAATAATTCTTCTTGTTAAATATTGTGAAGGCCTGTGAAACAGTTTATTTTAAGAGTTTAATACTGAGTACTGAGAATTAATTGAGAATTGAGAATACTGATCCAGTCAGAAAGAACCAGTCAAATCATTACTAAAACAGCGCCTTATGGCCCCGTGCGAGTAGGCAACCCGTCCGCACGCCTGCATCCGGTGCAGTATAAGCAAAATAAAGGAAGAGGTCCGTGGACCACCCTGTATGATCGCACGCACGCTACGAACACACACACATACACACACATGCTCGCGTTCGCACGCACGCACACATCCGCCCGAGGTGCAGGCAGGGGGTAAGTAGCGTAGACGTATCAATTAGCCTGACTGTCGGGCCCCTAATGAGTATCCGGAAGCAGATCGGCGCGGCGCGTTGGTGTGGAGCTGCGGTGCCGGCGCTGCGGTGTCGGTGGCGCGCGGGGGCGTTGCGTGGGCGGCTGGACCAGTCGCCCGGAGGCTGGCGCTGATCTTGGCGCCCAGATCCCCTCCTCCTCGCGGGGCCCTCGTCGGCTCCGATCCGATGATCGCCTTCACCTCGCCTCACCGCCACTTTGGTATCTCAGGGTCCGCTCCTCCTCCTCCCCCCGGCCCCCCGCCTCTACCCCTGACGCTCTGCGTGTTCCTACTGATGAGCCCTCGGTATCTGGAGCAAATCCCGTTGCGCAACGACTGGATGCGTGTATTTGTCAAAGGTTTTTGACGACACCGCCGGCGAAGTGTTCGACTTTTTACTCCGCCCGCTCATTTGCTTTTAACGGCCGCCGTATATGGCCTACGGGCCGCGGACACGGCCGAGGAGCCTAGCGAGTTTGCTGCGGTCCGTGTGTGTCTCTGTTGAACTGCTCGAGCGCGGCGCTTAACGACGCTCTCTACGGGACTGCAGATAGGGGGAGGTACCATCCGTGCAGTGGGAGCTTTTCCGACCCTTCCAAGTTTTCCACGGACAGAGATCCCGAGATCCCTTTTAATGCTTTGCAACAGATCGTACTGTCGCACGGTCTTGGTCAAGTACACACTAAAACCTCCTTAGAATTATGCAGGAGACTTAGTGTGACCAAGTACCAAGCACACACTATCTCCTGCATACTTGACCAAGTACACACAATCTCCTGCATACTTGCCATGTACACAGGATCTCCTGCATACATGTAGGTATGCAGGAGATACTGCACTCAAGTACACACTTGGGTTTCCAGAGCACAGTCGGGTGCCACATTGTGGGTGGAAGCTCCGCGCTCACAACCAAGCTGTGGGTTTCCCCCGCGGCAAGGTCGCGGTACGCGACCTCCTTCGCGTGAACAAGGTCGGGGTGTTTTACCATGGCGCGGCAGTTTTTGCTCTGGTTTCACCTGTTTGTCTGAGCGTCCAACAACATCTCATCCGCACTCCTGGCGGTTGAAAACAAGGCAAAGTACATTCCTTCTCCTACATTGTCGCTCCGCCACCCGTGCCTGTTTTAATGTCTTTATTATTGTGTATGAAATAAAATAAAACCAAATAAAACTACCATGAGCGTCAAACCTTAGGCTTTCTTAGGGACCATCCAAAAAGTATCCGACGTTATTTGCTGTAACGAAATTGCTAAATTCAGCCCGTGAGCCTGTGCATTAGCGGTGCGAGTCCTTATAGCGCCTGATGGGTAGGCAACATCTTGCCTACTGTGCATGCGTGCACTGCGGGGTAGTCTACCCCGAATCTCACAGGCGCTTAGCTCTCGCAATTTTGCCGGATAAATCTGGGGAAAACGGACGATTCTTAGAGGCATCAAAGTGACAACTTCTGTCCGCTCCGGCTAATACATACGATACACGGTAAAAACGGCACCGGGTTTTTAAGGTGCCTACTGGGTTCGAAGCCATTTTCGGAATACCACAGACTCTCTCCCATCTTTTCGTTTTACAAGATCAATTGTTAAACATTTCTTCTGTCCATCTCTCTCTCTCTCTCTCTCTCTCTCTCTCTCTCTCTCTCTCTCTCTCTC